AAAAGCATCTCTTTTTAACTCTGGGTATCCCAATGATTTGATGAATGGTCATTAGCTTTTCATCTTAAACTAAACTAACCAAAATTATGGACAAGCTTTACAACCTAACAACACAGTTCCCTTATTCAAAAAAAAAACTAAATACTCTGGTTTGTTCTGTCCACATAGAACCATTGACCTTTCAGCAGCACCTCGGTGAAGCGAGCTGTTTTCATCACATGTTATTCAAACTGGTTTTATATAGTGGCGCTAGATTTTGTTGCCTTAGGCTTACACAAGAGTTCCGGAGACTACCAAAAGACCACAGATTCAACAAAGATTAGTTAGAGCGACAAGTGAAACACTTGAGAATCATTGCCTTTGATTCTTCAGATCTACACTAGAATAATGGTGCAGAATCCCCACACAGATAGCTACTACAATATTAACCCTGAGCCATGATCATTACAGCTTTAAAGAGAACACATAACTACTAAATTACTTATCACAAAAGTTTTCCATGTCTCGCAACATAAAAGATGTAGGAAGAGACTTTGGAATTGTTATCTAGCCAATCAATGATCACTCCTCGAATCAAAAGCCATGTGACAAAAGACGTTTCATCAGAAAGAAAGGACAAAGCAGAAGAGTGCATCAGACTATACATTTATCATTTATATTTTGTGAAACTTACCATCAAATGTCAACAAATGGGTTTTAATTATGTAGTTTCAGTATTTATTAATCAGTTTCTTCTTATTCTCAAGTCTGGAATTCGGTTTGGATGATTCTGCTGGACTCTAGTTCTGCTGCTCTCCTGGCTCCTATGTTTTGACTTGTTGAGGTGAGTTTGGCTTCGTTTTAGGCTTGTCGGGGTGATGGTGTTGTGCTTCAGTGGCATCTACTTGTTTGAGGTCTTCCCTGATGTTCTTTGGGCCTAAGTCCCTTTAAGTGCTTCAGGAAACCAAAGACATCTGTTGGTATTTCCTGATGCGTCAACAAGTGACGACATTGCTACAGAAACCAAAGACTCTAGAGGAAAGGAAGGATCATACGCCAAAAAGAAATCGTTTGAGTGATCTTTTTTACGAAGGGGTTGTTCGTTTTGTGATCTAGACACAACGGCTGGAAACATAAACTAAATGCAAAGTAAAACTCATCTAGAGTATGTAGATATTCTCGATGAGTTTGAAATGACAGCTTAGATGCGTCAAGTGCATCTTGAATTACAAATGCTTAGAATATTTTTTTTACTTATATTCATAAGTAACTTCAAACTATTTTTAATACAAATTTACTATTCTACAAAGAAAAATGGAAAATGTTTTTGGCTAACTGAGCTATATTGAGAAAGAATTCGTCCCATTATACCTTTGATTCCATTGCTTCTGTCTTAATATACATTTGATTTTATAAATAATACAGTTTGTATGTATTATTGAATAAATAATAATACTTTATCAATATGTTTGAAATTGCACTTGAGGAATTATTTATAAATTTACTGTATTATTTACAAAATATGAAAAAATTATTGAATTATAATATCTACACTTTATAAAGTATTACTATTATAAAACATTATCATAATTTATATTTTTGTAATTGAATGGTTAAGATAAAAATATGTCATTATATTTCCTACGACCAATAATGATAATTACATTGTATTCCTAAGTTACACTTAAAAACATAAATATTATATGTGTACGAAACAATTTATGTGTAATTTAACATTTAAAAGGTATAGGAATCAAAATTTATGATAGATTTTAGTTTACGAATAAAAATTATATACTGTTAAAAAGAGAGAGTGATATTGTCACTGAGTCAAAAACATGGACAATTTCTAGATTATGTAGTTTAAAATAATATTGCACATCTTAAAATTCATTTTCTTATAATATACAATTGAAATATACATGCTTTGATATGTTGACTTAACCGAAAATAAATCATGCGCTTACAAAATGTAGATCAATATCTAATTTCTTACCAATAATCATAACTTCAAACTAATTTTAATACAAATTTACTATTCTATACAAAACAACAATTTTTACAAAACAAAATGGAAAATATTTTGGCTAACTGAGCTATATTGAGAAAGAATTTGTCCCATTATACATTTGATTCCATTGCTTTTGTCTTAATATACATTTGATTTTATAAATATGAAACTAATCCTATAGTCAACAAATAACATAATTACATTGATCTTAAATATAATTAATATTTTTTATTTTATTAATTTCTCATCAAAAATTATAAAGCTTCATTCATTGTTTACTTGATTTCAGAGTGAGTAATCTGCCATATTTTTTCTTATCAACAATGTACCTCCACTCGTTATTCACATCACATATTTAAGCATCACATGTTACAGAGATATAAACAATCCGATTTGATGAAAAAGTGATATGCAAGAACAAGAAAGGAAGACCAGTGTTGAATCAAAAAAAAGAGTTGATTCAACGTGATTCAATGTAAGTTAATATAAAGAAGATGATAAGTTTGAATCAAATTAATTATAATTGCTTCATAGATTTTTCATATTTAAAAACATAGAATATATGAAAATATATAATATATATTCTAAAAAGATAGAACATAGATAAAGGTTAGAATTTGAATTCTACCAATGTTTAAACTATACCATACATGTAATAATTCATTGTTTTTCTACGATATATAATAAAATAAAAAATAGAACAAAAGTTAATATTTTCTATATTTTTCTATAACAAAATAAAAAAAAATTCATAATATATATTGTATTTTATAAATAACAAAGACCTTTGGTTAGAATTGATGCATACATATTTTATATATGGATTTATCATAGAGAAGACTTTACTATATGAACCATCGATAACTTCTATAAAACGTATAAAATAATTTATAAAATATATTTTATCCTTGTAAAAAAATTATAATATACATTCTATCAAATTTAGATCAACATGTCTAGATTGTTTTTGGAATTCAATTTTTTATTAAAATGTAAAATATTCTCATGATTGTATTGTTTTTTCATATTTTCTGATTTGTAGATAATTTTTAATAATTATTTTTTATTATTATAAAGATAATTATATTCAAAAACTAATGAGTTAATACAAAAATATAAAGTGACAAATAAATGTTCATTATGGTGGGAAGAGTTCTCTCTCTTTGGATCTTTCACAAAGATGAGATGAGAAGCTCTTACGTAGATCTATGGTCTAAAACTTTTTGTTTTCTAACATATTTTTGGATTAGCCGATTAAGTTTTCACTGAGTTTTGTTTCGCGATGGCGATTTTGTTTGTGTTCTTTGATCCAGAACATAGCTTTGCTTCAGCTTCTTTTCTATGTTTCTCTGTCTTTGGATCGATTAATAAAGTTTTGAGTTTTGCTTTCCATTTCGTTCTTAATATTTATCATGTAGAATTTTGGGTAAAGTTCTTGTAATCACTGTTCACTCTAATCTCGTAACTAAGAGAATCAGTCTTCGCTCTTTAATTAGCCGTTGTTGGCGTCACGCGGAGCTTGTCTGATGGAAGAAGGATGGGTTTAATGGATCCTTCGAATCAAGAATAGAGAGGATTCAGAATAGTTGGCATTTTAAAGGCAGTTTGGCAAAGGGTTTTATTGTGAGATAATAAACAAAGTCCCACATTGGAAAATTAGACAAGGAGAGTCTAATATATACAAAGAAGTTCAACTCTAATAGTACGAGGCCTTTTGAGATAGAAACCAAAAGTAAATCCATGAGGGCTTATCTATTAGGCCCAAAGTGGACAATATCGTACTAATAAGAAAATATAGAGTTGGACATGGGCTTTCACAATTCCAACAATTAGTATCAGAGCGGTTTGACGAAGATATGCAAGAAGACCAAAATACCCTTTAAGATATGAATAGGGATCCTGCAAGTAGGAAAAAGGAGGTTGTGGCATAAACTGTCAGAAGATCTTGGAATATGCGATGTTGTGGGAGAAACATTCTCAAAGAAAGACATGCGATTACTTGTACAAAGTAGAGCCAGATGATTCGCTGAAGAACAAAGTACACGAGATGAATGTGGTTCTAAGTTTAAGGGGGAGAATGTGAGATAATAAACAAAGTCCCACATTGGAGAATTAGACAAGGAGAGTCTAATATATACAAATAAGTCCAACTCTAATACTACGAGGCTTTTTGGGATAGAAACCAAAAGTAAATCCATGAGGGCTTGTCTATTAGGTCCAAAGTGGACAATATCGTACTAATAAGAAAAGATAGAGTTGGACATGGGCTTTCACAATTCCAACACTTATTTCATCTTAGATTGAGCTAGCTTCCTCTGGTTTGAATTCCGGTGATTCAAAGTTCTTTTACTCAAGTATTCACGGATTAAGTAGAAGGTTTTTTGGTATCAAAGATCTTGCGGCGGAGAGTTAGAGTTGACGAGACGTCGTTGGGAAGCTTAGACGGTGGAGATACTCTGCGGTGAGGCCTAGAATGCCGTTCAACGCATGAAAGATACGTGTCCATGAGATGCGGCTTCAGATGATCGTTCACCATGGTCTATCATCCAGGTGCTTCTACAAATGGGTTGTAATGTTTTAATTTTAATAGTCTTCTTTATTCATGTAATATCTGGTACCAATGTATTTTAGCCAAATGAACTTAGGGAAATATGTGTCTATGGCAATACAAAAAACACTAATTCACTCAGTAGTTAAAATCACTCTTTTTTTCCTACTTTTTCTTTCTATCTCTCTAACTTTTTTCTACAAATCTATTTTTTTTGGTCATTTCACAAATAAGCCATTTCTTATCCAAATGTAAATATCCCCTTATTATTAAAAAGGAAGCAAGAAAAAAAAGAAACCTTATAATGGTACTATAATTACAAATGTACCATTTGCTGACGTGTCGGACAGATATAGCTTCTCAGATCACTTTAAAATTGCCCACTCTCATCTAGACAATTTACGAAAATTGCCATTGGGTATACCTTTTTATTACAAAGTAATTGCATTATATTTCTCTCTTGCGTATACCAAGGATATGTTAAAAGCTGAGTCTCTCTCTTCTCTTTATTCAGAGTTGACTCTCTCTTCTCTTTCCTTAATTGCATTGAGAAGCTCTCACGATTCTTTTCTGATTCAGGTGATTAGAAAAGCACCTCTGTTCTTCTTCCTGAGAACCTTAGATTCCTCCATTGAGCAAGAGAGATGCTGCGAGTAGCAGGAAGGAGACTCTTTTCTCCGACGCGGAGATCTTCGAAGGCAACCTCCTTGGCGCTTTCCCGAGTCCATGGCGGTGACTCCTCCTCACCTCCCAGATCTGTACCCTCTTCTGATCTTTCACCTTTCGATTCTTACCATCGGAGCCTCATAAGAGGTCTGCTGATCGATCTACAGAACCCTTTTCTCTGGATTGATAATCAGTTTTCATTGCATGTGTTATTTTGAACGTTATTAAACAAAAAATTATTAATCATACTTATTGTTTGTTTGTGTCCCAGAATGTTTGAGATTCATATTATTGTATCTACCAGATGAATCTAGGACGGTGTTTGGTTTCCATAAATCTAGGACTGTGTTTTGGAGAGCTTGATTTATTTACTTCTAATCATTGCCTGAATAGCTGTGCTTTGTATGATTTTTTTCTTTCGTGCATCAAGAAATGGTCATTTGAGCTAATTGACCAGTTTTTGAGATGATCCTTTGTTAAATTTGATAAGCTTCCCCAATAGGTCTCCTTTTGTTATTCATAGTGTGATTGCCTTCATTGTTCTCTAAAGTTTTGGTCTTTGTGTATCCTTTTGTTTCTTCGTTATTAGGGAGATGGATGCTCTAGCGGCATACTTGGTTTAGGGTATTAATAGCTTATTACATTGGGCATGCTGAGGAGGAAATTTTCTTTGTTAACCAAAAGAGCTATGTTTACAATTTTATCTGGTCAAGGCGTCTGCAATCCAAATCTGTTGAAGCGAGTAAAGCCAAGAATAATCATGGTAGTGAGGTTTTAGTAGGGGGCTAAGCGCTGTGGTCTAGATGAATGCGAGGCCTTCGGTTCTGAAGGCAATGAGAAGAAGCTCGATGAGAGTAAGGTCAAGAAGCTTACTACTGGTGGTGATCATGTTAGTGAAAATTTGGACAAGGCTAAGAGCAGTGATGTAGAAAAAGATGAATGTGAGATATCGCCAGCTGATGGATGTGGTAAAAAGCATACTGGTGCAGATAATGTTGATAAAGTAACACGTATGAGTGTTACTGGAGAATCACTAACTTTAGAACAGGGAAAAGGTGAACTTGAGGCAACTAAAGCATGTCCACATTCCCTGTTTGAAGACTTTGAAAAGAGCGGTAAACCTGGCAAGAATGCAGTATCAAAGAAAAGTTGTAGGATCCTCAGAAGTGCCGGCAATGTAGTAGAGCATTCTGGGACCAAAGATAAACCTGCCACCGTGGAGGCTGTCAAGATTGTTTACGGTCACCACAACCATGAGGGTTACCCAACTGGTGACCCTAGCAAACGTGCGTTTTCGCCTATTTTGTCTGAGAAGCTGGGAGGTTTGTCTACACCTCTGTTCTCCGACTTCTAGGAAACGTTTCATTTTTCAATACCAAAACAAAAGACATTAGCTTGACTGTTTTTTTTTTGATCAATAACTTGACTGTTTGTAGTTATTGTTATGGAATGCAAAATTGGTAATTATTGGGAAACGTTTTAAAAATATGAAACCACGATTCAACATACGTGGAACTTACAAAAAACTCACAAGAAGAACTTGAATACTTAGTAGTTTTTGTTGTCTATATTTTCTCTAATGTGCAAAAGTTTCCAATAACTTCCTTTTACGTGGCGTACCCAAAAAGAAGAACCTTTTTAGGTAACCCAATATAATTTTTCTATAATACATTAGAACCAATTGTGTAAGTTTGAACATGATCAAAATATTTTTATGTCAAAGTATAGTTCGGTTCAAAAAACATTATCCATTCATATTGTGAACACTATTTTGTTTGTATGAAATTCACATTTAAAAAGTCACTTTCGTATTATAGTCTTAATATGTAACAACATTATAAGTTTTATGAATTATTATATAATTTCAGTAAATTAATAATAGTATCATCCCACACAAAGTAAGTTTTCAACATGTTTATATAACCATTTCCACTGTTATTTCATATGAGCTAAAATGTTTTTACTTTATTCTCACCACAGCTATGAACACATTAAGTGTGTTGCATATGGAGAAGTTGTTCAGTTTATAGATAATTTCTGGAACTCAACCAATGCATCTATTATCCTATGTGTTTTACAATTTTTGGCAAATTGATTAGAGTGTTGGTAAATTACATTTCTAATTCTTAAACACAGTATTAGTGATTATAAGATTTGTTTATGGATTTTCTAAAATTCACTTTAAGTACGATGATGTTCCAGAGATCCAGCATTTTCGAATGAGATAATACAATTTGATTGATGAATATATAACTAACTTGACTATATAATTATGCTCACTTATTTTCTTAAGTTTTTTTTAGGGTTCCAATATCACATTTTTCTACCATTGCCGTTTAATTATATTATGTTGCTTTTTATTTACTGTTTCTCCGTATGTCTCATTTATTTTTAAACTATAAAATTATAATATATTTTTCTACGCTTTATTTTATTAGCCACAAAATCAGATCTAAACTACTACCCAGACAAATATCAACAATAATTCCTCCAAATTAAATATGTACTTTTCAATTTTATATAATTTACACTATATTATTTCTAACCATTCAAAATCCAATATAGTTTTCTGAATAAACCATTTAAATATTTCTCTCATCCCGCGCAAAGCGCGGGTCTTATCCTAGTTAACTACAATAACGAATGTGTTTGAATACAACATCCAAAATATTTTATTCAGAGGCTACATCTATATGTTACATACAAATATAAAAATGAACGTGGCCTAAATCTGTCTACTACTTCAAATCCGAAGCAGTCTTATGTTTCACGAACCGACAAGTGTCCAGGGCTGGAATACATAATTTGACAGATTCAAAATACTAATTCTCAATAAAAAAACAGATGATTAGAAATATGTATCGTGTGTTGCACATATCTTCACGACAAAACGAGAGAGAGAGAGATAGAAAGAGAGAAACGGATTATCAGGAGATCTCTCCCTACTCTCCACGTGGTTGTATGTAGTAATTCTTTAATCTAGCAACGCCAGTAGTAACTTAAATTTAATCATGATTACTTCAGCAAAACATAAAATTAATTAAATCAGATTATTGCCATGTTTCAGTCCGTCAAACAAGGCCAATGTGTTGGATGATCTTATTCTTAACACAACGCTAATAAGCAAACTTTATATATTATTATATACAGTACACTGCAAGCTTCTAAATTTAGCTAAAACGGGTAATACAAAGTGCAACAGTCCACGAAACAAAACGTATTTTAACAATTAATTTATAATGTTTACAGATACGCTCAATTGATACGCTTACGTACTTCTAGATTGCTTATTTATGAGGTTTCTTGTTTGATTAAAGTTCTAGGCATGTGTATCTGCATTTTTTAATGGTATTCATTAAACGTTTATTTTCTAACTAGTAACTACATACAGTAAAACCTCTATAAATTAATAATGTTGGGACTTTGTAATTTTATTAATTTATAGAGATATTAATTTACGAAAGTTTCCTTATTTAGATTTTTTTTTATTTTTTTCCATTTTTACTTATAAAATAAAATATATATTTGATTTTAGCACATGTACATTATTTAAATTTTCGAATTTTGACTTTTATATTGGTTTATTATCTTATTTGGTGTATATTTTTATGTTTCACAGAATTGTTACATGTTTTATTTATAATTTAACTAAATATTATCAAAATATATTGAAATGTTTAAAAAAATAAAAATATTTTTATAGTAAATATAAAACCCCTAACTAAATATTATCAAAATATATTGAAATAGTTTAAAAAATAAAAGTATTTTTATAGTAAATATAAAACCAACAATATAATGTTAGATTGTACTTATATAAAATTATATATAGCTAAATTATTAATTTATGATTTTAGTGGGACCATATATTTATATGACAGTTTTAAAAATATTATTATCTTATTATTTTATCGATTTGTGTCATATTTTACACCGGCCCAAGTTGGGACCGGTGAAATTTATTAATTTATAGAGATTATTAATTTATCGAGTATTAATTTATCGAGTATTAATTTATAGAGGTTCTACTGTATAGTGAAAACAACTGAGGTTTTTAACAATGTGTACTTAAAACACACAGAATATAGCTTTGGGTTCACAACATATTAGTGTATGAATATGTGATATAAATTTATGTGCCAATACATGTAACTTTCGTTATTTCGTTCAAAAATCAAATTGTAAAACAGATTCAAAATCAAGATTTTTATAGAAAACAAAAAGATATTTCGAGTAATGGGTTGAATGTGAATGAATAAAGTAGGAGCCATTTTGATTTCTTGGTTTATTAATATTTGTTCGTTTGTCCAGCTGGCTTTTTTTTATCAATCTAATCACCTAGATTGTATATTTATGAACAGAAAGTGGGGACGTGTATATGTTAGATGAACTGAAGTTTATTTATAGATACTTTTGGGCCTTTATACTTTACAGATACGTATCAAGGCATAACTATTGGTTTCTGAAACTGCAAATAAATAACTTAATCGGGTCACCATGCCACCACATACATCAAAGTCAACTGAATATTTTTTGCTAACGTTTCAAACCTACCATATCGAGATAATAATAAGTTAATTACGTATAGAGTACAGATGCATTGAACATAAGACGCAACTTTTCGTACTATTTTGGTATCTTAAACAATTTTTCTTTCCTAGAGAAGACATACAAAAAACGCATGACGGAGTGCAAATTGTATACTATATGTAAAAACTTTTTGATAAAATGTCTGAATCTCTCTGCGGTGAATATATGTAAAACTTATATTCAATACAATTCTATTTTTATGATACACTGCCTTTTTCTTACGATATAATGAAATACTTATAGTAATAATTTATATAACATGACCCAAAAACAATGTGCTCTATTAATATTTCTTAAGAAACACATGTACAACTAACACGTGTTGGTTTAGTGGTAATGAAATTCTGATTGGAGTGCTCGTCCTGGGTTCGATTCATGTTGGCCACCAAAAAATTTATATGTGGATTTGTTCTGGTGCCCGAGACCAAAGACCGCTACCCGGCCATGATCATCTTCGGGTGTACGTCCACGCCGCTAAAAGGTTCGATCTCTAGTCTGTACCACTACAGTGGAGCCATGACACTTAGTTATCAAAAAAAAACCATATGTACATTGTTAATTAGATATATCATACACACCTATTCTGTTATTTATCTAAACACTAAGACTCGATTGATAGCGACCCTTTATGTAGATTTTGACTTTAGAAAACCGGTTGTAAAAAAATTATTTGTGACTGTTGTTTTGAATAATTTTAAAAGCTGATTGGTATAAAAAAACTTTAAAATTTTCAAAAACTATTTTCTATATTAAAATATTTGTATCAAAATAAATTTATGTTAAATTTAAATACATGCACAAATAGATCAACAGTGCACCAAAAAAGAGTAATACAACTAATAATCGTTTATTAAAAATTACGAATAATAATTTGATAATTCATTTTTCTGAGATATGATATAATAAGATAATTTAAGTTTTATTCTAATTGCGTTAAAATTTTATCAAAAATTAATTGGGTCATATAGTTTTTATTATAGTTGTTTAATTTTCTTATCATAAGACAATAAAAAAATCAGTGTAACCTTGCTTTAATCAAATTTTTTGTTTGGTTTGAGATTTTTCATTGATTTGAAACAATGATCTCAGTCTGAAGATGTTTAATAATATTTTAATTTTAAATGAAATAGTTATAAATAAATTAAGAAAAAATATCTACAACCATCTAAAAATCTGATTTACGTAGTTTTAGAAAAACAGAAATACTTTTTTAAAAGCTATGACATACAACAGTTAGAAGATGCTAGGTTGAAGATAGAATCGGTTCTAAAATTCTATGAACCCTATTAATTTTTTAAATTCAGAAAATAGCTAAAAGTTCTTGTAAAATCAATTTAAATATTTATTTTCTTTAAATCCAAATCATAATTTTAATTTTAATCACATAAATATATTTTATTATTTTAGTTTTACTTTTAAAGTTAATGAAAATATAATCTTATTTTAGTTATACTTTTAAAAATTATTTATGTTAAATTATAACAGCACAAAAGTTATTTTGTATATACATTTTTACATGAAAATATCTGAATTATTTATGTATATATAAAAGTTTTGTTTAAAAAATTGGCCCCACATTGTAGATTTAAATGGTTTTCAGATTGTCTTAGAGCATTTTCAACCCATTCAACCCACATTATAGAGTAATCACCTTTTTGTTTATTCATTACTTTATTTTCCATTTCATTTTGTAGTAAATTATGGAGTGTGGTTAGAGATGTTTTTCGGTCAAATTCTCCTTGGAGAAATCAATTATTAATTTTAGAGTTGGATTGGAAATAAGTTATCTGCTGAACTTGAGGGGAGTCAACTTCTCTCATGCCCCTATTTTTTAGAGCTAATTTTTTATGGGTTCAGTTGATCTTCTATACCCCTATTTCATAACTTTTTTTTCATCAAAATACAAACCCCCAAATTAAATC